GACTGCATATTAGAACTGTATTTTTCCTTTATTGTCAAAATTCCTGTTAAATGAGGATGTAAAGTGTGCCATGCACTCCATGGTTTAGGAAATAGTTTTAAGGATTATATTGGTATTTAATGGGTTAGCATTTCCTCAACGACGACCATAACGAGAATACCGAGAAAAATAGGTACATTTATTTTTCCGGAATTACTATATGACCATATGTAACCATTATTCAAAATTTCAACAAGCTAACAACGATGCTACTCTGTCATCGAAGGGAGAGTGTGAAACAATCATAAAATAATGACACGACCAGACATGAACATTTCTAATAATATCACGTTACAATTTATAAGTGCATTGTCACTCTGCAGCATTTCATTGCCGATACATACTGTCTGTGTGTGTGTTTCTAACTGTACGGCAACAAACATACCCACATGTGTACGTGATCTTGGGGGACAGTAATTGTGGAAATGTCAGTTGAGTTCAACACGACAACATTTCAATTGATTTTCAAAGAAAAGCCACTTGAAAATTGGAACAAGTATAACTTTTACAATTATTTTTTTGGGAGAACGGGAGAAATATTTGTGACCACCGAACGACAGACCATTGGCCACAGTGCTACATGTGTACACAGTACATGCTCTGTTTGTACATACAGAAAGTGTTGTGTACAATTACATACATGCAATACGATACCTAGTTTTTGTGATTAGAAAAACTGACAAGCAACAGCACCAAGGGCACTCACTCGCTTGCACTCTCTCGTGTTTCAAAATCACCACAAGTACTTAACACAAATTTTCCACATCAACTCTGGCATGGATGGATGGATGATAACAATTCCCAAAGTTTCTGGTGCAAACCCGCACAACCAATGCTCACTGCATGTGTGCTTATGTGTGTGTGTGAATTGGGTACCTGCGGCCTGCCATCAAGTCGTTAATCTTTATATTTGTTGTATAGTTAGTTAGCTAAGTTGGGACAAGGGAAGCGTCCGTTACTAGACGTTGTGAATGAGGAGTCACCTTTAACAAGCAAAAGCAACAGCACACGAACGGCGAACAGAGCCCAACAAAAACAAAGTCATAAATTAAAAGCAATGGCCTATTGTATGGAAACATAGTTGGACCATGTTGTGTGTTTTGGCTGCTGCATTCTCCTGATGTCATGAGGTGATGCTGCAGAATTGTTTTTTGTGACCATTTCAATTTGAAATAAAGGTTTGCAGGGGAAAAAAGTTTTCTAAAAAAAGAAAAATCGTGTAACGTATATTGTAATTTATTCGGACATATACGATTTAAGAATAATAAAGGGAGAAACACATACGAGAATTCAGGCCTGGCATGTTAAGTTGGCTTTGTTTGAAAGGTCGATTTATAAAGGAATATCAGAGTCAAACTTGATTTTCGACACGGTTCTCCATTATTCTTTTACAATAAAATAAGCCAACTTAACATGCCAATCATGAAGTCCTATTATGTGTTTCCCCCTTAATGATATAGTAAGCTTGTATGGTTTGAGATATTAAAAATGTTTAAATCAATAATTCACATGTCTATGGACCAGTATTCTGATAGTAGATCAAAATAAAAACTTTGGTTTTTGTCGCGACCATCTGTAGGTTCAATAGGTTCGTTAATTTACACAATAATTTTAATTTGTACGAATTTGTACAAATTATTACAAAATGTTGTTCGTTTACCCAAATATCCAGTAAAAGAGAGTGAATTGAGAGAGCAGATTTGACAGTTGTGTTACTGAGTATTTGCAAATTCTTACAAGGAAAATTTACTCAGTAAGAATTTTCTTGCATCATCAGCTGATATTTAATCAGCTATTTTGTAAACAAACAACAAAATTGTTCTCAAGCAAATTTATTGTTTTGTGAATTTTGTATTGATTTGTATCATTAAACATTAAAATGGGTGAAGAAAATGAAAGTATTTATAATCAACATACATTTTCCGCTTGTTTATCATTTTTCTAATAAAAATGCTGCTTTTTTGTATGCGCCAAATTGTTTGTTGTTTTAATCAGCTGTGTCGATACAACCTTTTTACTGAATGCTGTTCGTTTACTTTTTGCAATTTTCTCTCTTGAGAACGAAAAATTCATATTTTACTCTCTGCAAATTCTTACTGAGTAAATGTTACTGGAAAAGTAACCAAACACACCTAATATTGCACATCGAATTCAAGTACAAATTAAGGACTTTGACAGTTAATCAAGTCAAGTGCCATGGATTATGCTATATTGGGCCTAACGTCAAAATACCTTAAATCATCGGAATATTGACACGGGAACTATGTTATTGAAAATTCTGAGCTTGCTTATGCTCTGAAAAAAGTACCAAATTATATAAACGGCATATACATTGGAACTTTTTACCGGGTTAACCTACTTTATTTGACATATATGCAAAGGAATTGACAATTGAAACCCACTGCGTTAACGTAATCCGGTTAAATATAAACGTACTATTACATTTGAGTTTTTAACTTTATAAGGATTTATTTGACATATATACGATGGAATTGACAATTTAAACCCACTGGATTAACAAAATTAGGTACTATATTAACGTACTATTACACTCTTTTTAACAAATTGAGCTAGGACCTTGAAAATGCCGAAAATGGCGGTGACCTTTGTATGAATAAATAGTTTATCCTTCAACGTCCCGGTATGAGAAATTACTTCACTTTGTAATGCTTCGTTTGGAAAATGTACTTAGCTCTAAAATACGGAATATTGGAGGCTATCATTATATGAGGGCCAAACCAAAACCTCCTAGTAGTAAAACCAATACATATGCAATATTTCCGTAATTTTACACAACTAATGAAGGACCTGTCCTTTCGGTATTTTGGGAGCAAAGCTTAATGCTCGTCCACAGGTTACGAATAGTTGAATGACCAATAAAATTAGTTGTGTAGATGGATAGCAGGTTTTGTGGGAGAGTTAAGGATGACTGTAGGTCTTTAATTCCAAGATCGGTGAGGTCATTTCGTCAGTAAAGTTCAATGAATGACATACCGAATATTCGAAGAGCGCCGACCATATAATTTGATTAAAATTCTTTCTCAATTCTTGCTTTTTGTTATTCATCTCAAGTTGTCGTACAATGTGTTATTGCTCCATGATAATACCCAACTGTAATTAAATTTATTATAGTGTCAAAGGGTTTGGTCTCATGAAAGAATTTCATGAATTTTAAAGATTAAAGATTCAGAACTTCCAATTTCATAATAATCGACGAGATCTTTGAAGGTTTTAATGCACCTTATATTCTTTATATTTATTTGACAATACCAGAATATGTAGATCCATATTATTTAAGTATAACTCCCACATACGAGTACATAAATCAATATAATTCGTATCAATTTAAATATCAACCACTCTTCTTGGATATAGATTGCAAAATTTTGTAATTTGCACGCAAAAATGTTGGCCCGTTTGCATATTCTTTAGCCTGATCTACATCACCTCATAAAATTGCGTCATTTCCAGGTCATAATTATGATCCCATAACCGCACTTACAGAATTTCCGGCCTGTACTTTGATTACAATTTATAATCGTCAGAAGAACCATTCCCCATTATTAATCCTTAGTAATGTTTATTTCCAACCGAATTCTATCCTCATGTCATTGTTCTGTGGTTCATACATATATTATATTTTTTGGGATTCTGGGGCTCCACAGTCCTGGTAATAACATCATATACATATTTATATAGTGTAGGGAATAATAATGTATTACAAAATGAAAGACCATTTCCGATTTGAGTTCCACAAACGTATTTCACATACCTATCCGCCAAGTAAAATCCCATAATCTTTTTTAGGACCAAAATAAAAAATCCATCTAACCTTCAAAGCCACTATCTCTACAAATCTTTTCTAAGATGGTTTTTGTCTCTTATGTCATATGCCTATTTGGCCTTCAATTGTGCTAGGATTATCAAGGATATGCCAACCAAACAATATACAACACAATATCAAGTGACACTAATGTAAGAGGAAACTAAATTCTAAATCCTACATTTTATCAGTTTTCTCACGTAACACGTTTTGCAGAAATTGTTCCTATTTTCAGAGGGTTTTTGTTCGCCGTGCACAACTAACTTGTAAGGCCACAAAAGTAAGGTCAAGTCCGTTTCTTTTCTACGGTTTATCGGAAAAATGGAAAATTAAAATTTCAAAACAATACAAACCAATTAAAGATTTTCCATTTCTCTTTCCTATACAAAGGTATAAACGGCGATAACAATACCATACCGTGGTAGGCGTGCTGACTTGATCACGTCGAAGATTAGATCCAACGGTTTTTATTTGTATACATCACGTCGAGAGGAGGGCGAGAGAGTGAAAAGTAGCATGAAACCGGTAACTCGACATGGAGCCAAACAGTCAGACAACCAGCCAGCAAGCCATCCAGCTACATAAGCTAGGCAAACATACAAACACCTACAATTGTTTTGTCCCATTATTGTTGTGTGTTCTTCATTCGTTCTGAACACTGAAGCGATCAAATCAAATCTCTACGTACTTCCATACCTGTTTATGGTGGCGGTGGACAAACATTGTTTATCGCTGTTAATATTGTATACAAACACAAGTGTCGCTGTGTGAGTGTGTGCGAGTTTTGGGATAGAATATACCTGCAAACCCAAATACCCTTCTGAGAATGTTAAGAACCCAAAAAACATATCCACACTGTTTAGTGAAAGAGAGTAAACCAAAATCTCCACACCCTACTGTGCACTTAAAGCCTGGATTTCCTTTCAATGGAGTTGAGAGATGTTTAGGTAGAGAGATTCATTCGGTTGTCTTTGCCACCAGCTCAAATCATTCCATTTGCCAGCCGTTGGTAATCAGTTTAATTTTAAAGATTGTACGGTACGGTTGTATGGAGCGGACAAGCCACAGAAAATAAATGTGAATGTAGGAAAACAAAATGAATGTCGAAAGTATGAAGACCACCACCTCCTCGTCATCATCATCAAATTCTTCTCATGATATGGATATAAGTGCTCAGTTTGCCCGAAAAACACTACAAGACTATGAGGTTATATCGGTAATTGGCAATGGTGCCTTTGGAACGTGTTTTAAGGTGCGTGATAAAGAAACGGGAGAACTATTTGCCTGGAAAGGCATGGATTACGATGAGCTAAGTGAATCGCAAAAGGAATCACTGGTTTCGGAAATACGTGTTCTACGCCAGCTGCAACACCCTAACATTGTCCAATACTATCATCATTTGGTGAACCATGAGGCGAAATCGATTTTCATAGTTATGGAATGTTGTGAAGGTGGCGATCTATCTCAACTGATCGCCAAAGCAAAGGCGGAGAACAAACGTTTTGAAGAGCGTTACATATGGAGAGTACTATTTCAGCTATGCCGTGCTCTCCAGGTGTGCCACAATAAAATCAAAGATGGTACAATTCTGCACCGCGACATAAAACCAGCCAATATTTTCCTTGATATGGAGGGTAATGTTAAACTCGGTGACTTTGGATTAGCCCGCATGCTGAAGCGTAATGAATCATTTGCGGAGACCTTTGTCGGAACTCCCTACTACATGAGTCCGGAAATGGTAAAAGGTTCAAAATATGATCGGAAATCGGATGTTTGGGCTGTCGGCTGTTTAATTTACGAAATGTGTGCCCTTCGTCCGCCATTCAAAGGCAAAGAATTTACCCAACTGTCTGCAAATATTTCCAATGGAAAGTTTAATAAAATTCCCGAAACCTATTCTAAAGACTTACAAGAAATCATTGCCTTTATGTTGGAAGTGGAATATGAGCAGCGACCGAGCATAGAAGTTATATCGCGCCATCCAATATTGGTGCGTAACATCAATGATTTGGGAAACCAATTTCCTCGCTTGGTCGATATTGAAAGTGTGGAACAAGATTTTTATGTGACCACCGAGGAACGTGATACTCGCTGCAAATTTGAATACAGTCCATTCCAAGATTTCTCCGTGTACTCAGAGCAAAATAGTTTTCACGAGGGTTATGGTCAACGACGTATGAGTATAACGGGCGTGTTTACACCTGACCTAAGGGCGGAGTTATTCTACTCGGCTAAGCGCAGAATATTTCCCATAAATCCCAAACTACAACTATCCGATCCCGAATTATATGAAACTATACGGCGTGAAGAATATGCCACAATTGATGAAACCATCAAACCGGGACCTAGACATTTTTCTCACGAAGACCACGACGAAGAACTATCCCCTGATTTACTAACAAGAGATATTTTCGACGAAGTTCTACAAGAACGGTTACATGCTATACGTGCCCAGGAATCACTGCTCCAACAAAGAGAAGAAGTTCTTAATGCCAGAGAACAACAACTTAATGAGAAGGAGAAACGTCTAATAGCCTTTGAACAAAGCCTAATGGCGAAATATAAGGCACTAAACGAAGAACAAATTGCAAAATCAAATTCCAATTCCAGTCGACCATCAAGTGTCAATGAAAGATCTCGGATATCATTGCCAGATATGCGACCAGCCTCGGAGATACCACCACCAATCCCGCCTCGAAAACCTGTTAATCCTGATGAAACATATTGTACAATAGAGCCCACCGATACCACCTTACTGCATGAACCCACAGTGGCCAAATTGAACCTGGCCACATTACCAGCACCAAAAGCATTTCCCGCCCTACGTAAAGTTACATTTCAATCTCCCAAGAAGTTCATAACCTATGATATTGAGTCGAAACCATGTAAGATCAACGCTCCCACCAATACAAATCCAATGCAAACAAGTGTATCGAGTAAGGGAAGCGATGATTCCAATGAAAGTTCCAGTACCACAAATTCTACTTCCTCATCAACAACAAATCGACGTAAATCCATACTTTCAATATTTGGATTAAGCCGCAACAACAAGGAAACAACGTCCAGTAATAACCCAACAAACAAATCGATTCCTTCATCATCATCATCCTCCTCATCATCATCGGTGCCAGTAATCAGCAATCCAGTAACAGCAACAACAACAGCTCAAGAACGTCTTACTTCCTATCCAAAGAAAGAGGAACGCATTCTTTCGAAATGTGAAACTGCTGATCTGACAAATATCTGGACCAAAGAACATAAAAAGGCAGCTTTTGAAATGTTGGCTGCAATGAATGCTGCAAGTGGTGATGGCAGCATGGCTCCTCGCCATAAAATACGTCAATCGGTTCGTGAACGAAACACCCTACAGCGTAATCGTATGCGACGCTCGTTAATGGCTCCACCAATGGCTCATTATCCCCATCATGTTCCAAATGGAATGCGCGAACAGATTGTACTTTGAATTGGTGGTGGTATGAAAACTCTCTCTTGACAGGGGTATATGTTCTTCGAAAGGAATTAAAATACAACAATAATTATATTTTGTGATTTGGAATTTATTCCAATTAATTTTTAAGAAATATAAATAAGGGTTAGATTTTAAGTAAATCAATTAAGAAAATTGTTAATGTACGATTATTAGACGACAAGCAATTAATGTAAATAAATTGTTTTGAAAAATTAAACATAAAATCGCTTACACATTCTTAAACAAACATGAGATTGTTTTAATAATATAAAAAAAAATTGCATCCGAACAACGTAGTTCGCTCTCAGAATTACGTACATGAATTAACCCGTTCATACAACACTATTCATAATTCATATCAAGTTTTTTATTTCAAACTTTTTGTTTCTTGTTTTACACCAAATATGTAACATATTTTAGTGAATTACATAGGGATCCAAATAGAAAAAATAATTCTCTTTCTCCTGACTATGATAACATTTACTTTTCATTCATGTTTTCCATTTTTTCTGAAAATGTTGTTGTTTTTAATACATTTTTATATTTTCTCAATTCAAATGTCACATACTGTCACAAATAAAATTTTGGAGAATTTTTTGTTTGAGTTGCCCCACCGGACATATATAATTTTGCATTATGGAAAACAAAATTTACAGCTGTCTGTTTTTCAAATCGGAGGTTCAGAAATTTCTAAAGCTTTCTTTTTTTGTCATTATAATATCCTATTGATCTGTTCCCGTACTCAAGAATCTACTAATTTTACTAATTTTTACTATTCTTTCCGATATCATAAAGAAAAAATGTTATCGTAGTAAATAATTTTACATTTTTGTAAGTTCTGGAACAGACCATATATGAATAGGTGTTATTTTTAATTACATGGTATTTCGCTGTCACTTTTGAATATTTTTTTTTTTTTGAAATTTTACACGTAGAAACTACGTCAATATTTAAAATAAAACGAACATTTATCTCAAATTATCTTCGAAAATATTTAATTTTATACCAAACACATTTGTACAAGTCTGGTAACATTGGTTTAAAAATAGAACATGGCATCAACAATTTTTTGATGTATCGATAATTACTCATCCTTTTCAGTTTGGACACCCCTTCTTTTTGTTGTTATTTTACTATATAATATCATGGCCGTGCCATTGTTATTATGACGCCGGTAAAATCAAAATATTTTGTAAAGTCTACTACCATTAGGAAATATGCCAATTCTTTAATTAATGTTACAAAATTTAAATATATATTTTTAATTTTTGTCAATTTTTGCCGTTATTAAGATGAAACCCTAAACACATCAAACGGCCAGCATATGATACTATCGCCTTTATCGATTTTTACTAATCGATTTTTTCAATTGCAATCCTATTTTTTTGACGCCGCTGCATATTTTTCTACACCTCCTCAGTTCTCCATACATTCAGACGACAAGAGCAATTTGCAATTTTTTTGTTAGATCACCTGCGTTTTTCTTCAATAAATTGCATTAGGAAAAAACGGAAGCAGATATCAGCGTTATTACCAGTTAAAAACGAAAGAAAGTTTATTTGCTTTGCATACAAAAGTACTATGAGCGATTGGGCCAAATCACAGAAGAACCAGACGAATAAAAACATTGAAAAAATGTCCGATGACGCATCTAAGTTTTTGGGTGGTATCTTGGGAGACATCAGTTCCAGATCCGCGTATGCACAAATTGGCATTGGAGCAGCTGCTGGTTGGGCAACTGGTTTTGCCACAATGAAAGTTGGTAAATTTGCCGCTTTTGCTATTGGCGGCGGTATCATACTCATGGAAATTGCTCACCAAGAGGGTGTAATCGAGATTGATTGGTCAAAGATTTGCCGAAAGTTGGACAAAGTTACCGACAAGGTAGAAGAAGCTGTTACCGGTCAAGAGAAGTCCTGGGTTGACAAGGCCGAAAGGTCATTGGATCGCAAATTAGATCGCGCCGAAGAGCTAATCAAGAACAAAACAAAGAAGGCCAAGAAGTGGTACAGCACTCTCATCGGTGATGAGAATGGTCCAAAAATAAATGATTTGCACATCTTCCTTACTGCCTTCATAGGCGGTGTTGCATTGGGTATAGCGAGCTCTTAAAGAATGAACTCTTGGCAATTGCCTAATTGTGGATGTTTTTAAGTCGTTTATTTTTCTCTCCTTAATTTTGATATTTTGTTTGTTTCTCCCCCAAACTCCCTTTTTTGCGAACACTTATTTAATAATTACAAAGGATATTTATAATTTATATACGTATGTAATATTTCTAATGTATGTTTTAAACTAGTATTAACGAAATGCGTTCAATCGAATAAAAAAAACAACAACAACAACAAAAAAAAAGATGTCTATATAATTAATGATAATTTTTTCGATTTGGTAAAAATCAAAGAAACACATTTTCCCCACAAAATTTTAACAATGTTTAGTCGCATTTATATAACGCATTTTTATTATTTTTTAGTATGTAGACATAAGACAAAAATGCGCATCAATATGTAGAGCAGCAAATGTAGTATACGTACATTGTCACATGTATGTGAGTGCCATATAAAAAGAATGTGTGCATAAAATTTCCTCAAAAAAATAGATAACAGATGAAATGTAAACAAAACTTTTTTTTGCAAAAGATAACTGGTGGGTGGTTATATATCACGGGAGGGGAGATTTTAGTGGAATTATTGCACATTTCATGAAGATGGATTTGTGTTTGGTTGACTTTTATCATTATGTATGGGAAATTGATCACTTACATAGGGCAATTCGCATTGTTTCAAATATATACTAGAGTTTATAGTTTAAAAGAAGTAATACTAGTAGTGCTATATATACCAGGAAGAACCTAGGAGTTCAAATATGATTACTGACATGTTGAACAAGGATATCATTGTAATAGAGGAAATATCGTCTTAAACTATAAACAGTATCAATAATAATTTTACCAATTTTAATAGATCTTGAAAAGTCTGTAAAACTATTAGGTTTGGTTAAAGAGTTGCTAAAGCGAAGTTCTGGATCCCAATTAAGCATAAGAATGGGTATACTGTTTTGTTTCAAAAATGTCTCTACTATCGAAATTTATTTCCTAGCTGCAACTAATGGATCTAAAATGGTCATGGACTGCTGAATAAATACAGAGTGTTGTAGTAGTCAGCGACTACGATGGCTAGGTCATGTTTTGAAGATGGATGAGGATGTCCCAGCACAAAAGGCATATAAAAGCGAGCCAACGGGAATAGGGAAGGCCACGAATTAGATGAAAAGATCAAGTGGAAGAAAACATTTCGAAAAATGGTATTTCAAATTGGAAGAAATGCGCGCAAGACTGACGCTCGCCTTATAGAACAAATGTTCTGACACAAGTCGGTTATGTAAGTAAAGTTGTAGTAGTCAAGATAGACAGTGTCTATTAGACACCCTTGGTGTGCACACAATTTGGCTCATAAAACAATTATTGGAGTATATAATGTCACTCCCTATAGGGGATGTGTTGAAGTTTTGGAGACTTGTGTCGTACATGCGGATTTCTCTGTTTGTCTCATTTATAGGATCCCCATTATAGGCCGGTATCCCTTATATAGAAGTAAAAAATCCAAGAAAAAAAGAGGAAAATATTTTGACTCGCCGATAATAAAAAATGCAGTATAACTGAAGAGTATTTAGCGGTATTACAGTAGTGTCTCGATATAGTGAACCCCTATATAGTTAGGTTAAAGGATGTCCATCCATCAGTTGTCTAGAAGCTGCTTTCAAGCGGATACATTTTGTCCATTGAGCTCATCCTAGATACCTGAACAAATAGAGCAAATAAAAAGAGGGGAAGAGGAAGGATATGAAAAAGTGATGGAGGGGATATTTTGTTAATGTATTTAGCCTTGTCAAAGGGTTGATAAAGGTAAACATGTTTAGTATCAATATCGGACAAACAGTAGATGTATTCGGCTAGCTTGTGATGGACATCTACAGAATACATGTCCTATTGTTTCTAGCTCTTCCTAATCCTCACAAAAATGACAAACACTCGATTGATGTCCCATTTAGATTCTCGCAGTGAGTTTAATCTTTCTTGTCCTTTGTGGCAGAAGCGGAGTAGTTCTGTGTTGTGGAATTTCGGGCCAGATGCAACCAGGTTGTCAGACCATCTGCTACCGATTTTTCTGCAGTAGCTCTTGTTTATTTCACCAATGAATTAGTAGAGAAACTTTATGGGCTTAAGAGGCAAACATCTATTCGTGATTCCTATGAACATATTTTCGATACATATTAACAATATGAAGCTCTAGATGAATGAGTCTAATTATACCTATGCAAGACTTTTTTATTTGTTCTTTATTTTGTATTGAAAAGCCATTCGGCCAAAATCTAATACAATATGCTCCAATGACAAATTATATGCAAATAAATTAAATCTAATTGAACTAAATTAAACGTATGAAAAAAATATAGCTAAACATATTATAAAAATATTTATAATAAACCAATTTTTTTATTCCATTCGAAATAGCACTGACCTAAATTCTTGAACTTTGATATGGGAATTTGGATGTAGAGTTGAGATAAGTAGGATTAAATTTCGAAATTTCGTAAGGATATTTATGTTTTTTTTTAGAAATTAATTATGGAGATTGTTTCAAAATTTGTACTTTATAATTAAGAACAATTATAAATGACACTAAAATCAACAAAATTGATGTTTGGTGAGGGACACAACTATAAACAACAACTATAAATGTACGAAAAATATCCAATTTGGTTCCCAAAGTTGATGTGTAAGATTTAGAAAGTGATTGAAGTGTGAGATTTGTTATGTGGGTTCAGAAAATTTAAAAGAATCCTTGGTTTCATCATTATAACATCATTTTCCAAATAATTCATTAACTATTCCATTAGCAAACGCTAATTCTTTATATGCTAGAGAATCATTTTATATATTTTAGAATCCACATAAAATCAGCAGTGGACAATCATATGAAGAGAAAAGCCGTTTATATCATTTTAAATATAATCTAGTTATTGCAAAAGTCAATTCGATACAATTAAAGGGATTGTTTAGGGATTCCCTAGAATTATGCATACATGAAAACGGAAATACACAAGCAAAATTAGAACCAGTCTAGAATTATTTTTAAGTGGAAAATATTTCGAACTCCATTTAATTTTATTAGGAATCATCACGTCTCCTCATTTGGTATGTTGTCAAAAATTTTTTTACGTTTTTATATTGACCAATAAGAACTAGTTTTCCATTATAAGATTATAATGGTATACTTTCATTGGACTAACCCCAGTTTGGGATTATGGTACAACCTCCACGAAATACCAATTACCATTAACTTCAATGTCTATATGCAAATATCGAATCTAAATACCATATTTTAGTAGCTTTCTAAGCGTTATTTATTTTACATTTGTTTTTCGTTTACTTCGTATAAATTTACAATTTAAACTATAAATCTTCTACCATGATGGCTGTGCCCGACCCTCTGGACGACCATACAAAGCACTTTTGTCTCTGAATCTGGTCATACGTTCAGTTTCCTTCTGATCGAGGAAATGACCAATGGCAAAGCCAAGCAAGGGAAGTACACCCCAGACGTAACGTTTGTCAAGACCCAAAACCATTTTGATCTATTGATGTTTTAGTAGCTCTTGGATTTTAGCGATTTCTTTTTGTTCACGCTTCCAATTCTGGGTGTGAGACCAGTCGGCGTAGATCGTTGAGACAGTGACAGTGGGGAAGAATATAACAGCTCCGTACTTTCTTGCCAGACGTGCAACAACACTACCGGCCATGAAGTGCTGCAAAAGAAAAGGAGAACAACAAAAAAGTTACGTAAGTTCCAGAAAATTTTAACAAAAATATGCTGAGTAATAACAACAGAATTTGTTATTGAAATAGTACACAATTATTGGCTACTGTTTTCGAAATTGTTTCAGTATTTAATTACAATTTTTTTAGTATTTTCTATAAATTAACAACAATCAGCTAACCAACCTTCAGGAATTTTGCGTGTTTTTTATATTATTTTCTTTTTCTTTCTGTCTTTGTTTTGACGTTTATTTGACAGTTTTAGGGAATTGCCAGAATTTTTTTTAACAGATTATCCAGTAGAAGTGATTTTTGCACAGACAAAAATGCCATAAATTGTTCAAGAATACACAGAATTCGGCTCATTTGTCACCTTATAAATATGCCCTGGAACGATATATGATCTTCCCACAGGGACACACAATTTGTTCTTGACGTAAACAAAAATATACAAAGTTTTTGATTTTTTTACATTGGAAATTAAAGCATACTTTTAGGCCGTATACATGAACATAGATGCAATCAACCGTGATTTAGATTACAAGGATGTAAATGGCATTATTGAGGAAATAAAATTGTACTCATTTGTAGCATTAAAACATTACCGAAAGTCCAAGCACTTGTGGAGCTCTAAAGACAATTCTTAAGGTGTTTCCACCTTAAGAAAGGACTTCAGGATTGGCATGTTAAGGGAACCCCCCCATTCTCGATTTTAATTTTTCAAGATTTTCAATGGGCTGGTAAATCAATACCAATGCTTGTTAAGGTTTGTAACTTTGCACATATATAATTGAAGATTTAAAAGAGAAGAAAAATAATTTTCAAAAAATTTTTGTTATTGTTTTGTTGTTGTTTTTTGCAATTAAAGAAAAGTCCTTATTTTTGATGGCGGGCATGATAACTCCTCACTGGAACATCGGAATCCGAAAATTCCAACGGTGTTAGAAAGAGTACATGTCTGGCTCTCGTATGAACTAGGATTATAGACTTCGCTCTAAAATTAACAAAATGGTGGACCTTAGAAAAAATATTTTTGGAAAATCGCCGATTTTTTACCAAAAACGAAGTTAAAAAATAAGGAAGATCTTCACCGATTGGCTTTATCCTAGTTCATACGAGAGCTACACACTCCCAGAGGAACGTTGCAAAATTTGGAACCGATTGGATTATTAGTTTTTGAGTTATCGTGCCCGCCATTCGCAAAAAAATGTTTAGAGAAAAACTCGTTTAAAGTTTGAGAAGCCCTTCAGCCGTCACTTGATGCTGACACAATAAATCGGCTATATCTTCAAAAGTTCTTGAGATTTTCACTTGAAATTTTGTAGGGACATTCTTTAATTAGTGTAGATTCGAATTATATCAAGAAATTTTGACCCCGAGAATGGGGGGGGGGTCCCCTTAAGTTGGCTTATTTTATTGTAAAAGAATAAAGGAGAACGACGTTTAAAATTCATGTTTTACTCTTATATTCCTTTATAAATTGACATTTCATACAAAGCCAACTTAACATACATGTATGTCCTGAATCCTCGTATGTGTTTCTCCCTTTATTTATCTAATATTCGGATGAATAATTAGAATATTACGGTGTGAAAAGTTTGGATTTAACTGGACACTCAATTTGATTGATATACAAAATTTCAAAATTTGTAATAGTACATTCTTGCTTGTTCTGAAATTGGAGTTTATTGTGTACACATGTACAGTTTGCGGATTATAAAAAACGAAACGAAAAAGTCCTGTTTTCAGGATATACTCCCAATCCATGTATAATTTGTGAAATTTCATTTGACTGTCAAAAGGTAGTATACATTGCATTTGCATGCAAAAAAAAAAAAAACTCGTAAAACGCGGACTATTTCCATAAAGTTCATACGTTTTCAACGCGCATCCGATTTCGGTGTACACCCTAAAAACGGTACCGTATAATGGTACTGTTCAATTTTTGGCATTCTGAAGGTTTTAGGCACATTTTCCCACCGAAAGGTTTGTAATGTAACATACCTTCACCACACTGTGGTACAGGGTCATTGTGCATATGCTTGTAACAGACAAAAGGAAACGATATAGACACGTGGTTCCTTTTGAGAATATGCATAAAATCACTTTCTAAGTCGATTTATGCATGTCCGTCCGTCAGTCTGTCCGTGTTGAATTGTAAACAAAGTACAGGTCGGATTTATGATCCGAATTTGCATAGGTCATTTATTTGGCCTAAGGACGAACTCTATTGAAATTGGGGAAAATCGGTTCAGATTTAGGTATAGCTCCCATATATATTTTCGTCCGATTTAATGTAAATAGTACACCAAAGTCCCTATATATAGATTTGCACGAAATTTGGCACAGCATAATGAATTAGGTCTAGAATGAGGGTGTTAAGTTTCGTGAAAATCGGTTAAGATTTAGATATAGTTCCCATATATATTTTCGTCCGATTTTAGGTAAAAGGTGTACCAAAGTTAGGCCGTTTGCTACAAAATATTGCATAACTTACTGAAATTAGTATTGCCTAACGTTTGCTAAGTTTTTAGGAATCGGTTCGGATTTAGATATAACTCCCATATATAAACTCGTCCGCTTTTAAGTAAATAGTCGCACCAAAGACCCAATGTTAGTATAACCTAACCTGTGACAAGTTTCGATGAAATCGGTTTACTTTTCGATATAGCTTTTATATTTATTTTAGTCCGGTTTTAAATAAATGGTGCATCCAACTCCTCATGTTTATCAGATATTTACCCAAATAATCAACTGATTTACATAATTTTGTCCCATTGTAAGAAGCAACACTATATCTGACCAAATGAAAAATTTCGTATAGGTCCTTAATGGTCCTTCAAAAATGCAAAATGAATATACTCAAAGTGGTGAAGGATATCATATAGACGGTCCCGTCCGACTTTACTACTTTCCTTACTGGTTTTTTAATGTTTTAAAAAACCATTTTTTAAATAATATTTTTTAAGGCGTGGATTTTTTGAAGAACTTTGTATCAAGATTTTGATACAGACATGTTCAAGAACTAAAAATACATATATATTGTTTTCCTGCTACATCAATGATTTTTCATACATAGGTTTGGAAAAATGTGCGCGCAAAATTTTTGGTGGTTATATGTATTTTTCAAAAAATTTGAAATTTTTTAGTTTGAAGAACAATCATCTCCTTGAATGATGTTGATTTCAGCCTTTCGTATTTGGCACTTTATTGGACGTTTTCTTTTTCCCCAGCAAATGTTTCATGATGGTTGAGTTATGAAAATTGTTTTGTTTTTGGCCATGCCTCAAGGTGATTATTCCAGCAATTACAACGAAGTCCAATATTCCGAAGATTCAAGTGCTGGTGAACGTACAAACGAAAGGCAGATGTCTGAAAATTCTATAGAAGTAGAAGAATAACTCGTTTTCTAAGAAACCTATTCGATTATTTAACGGACTTCAATGCAGAAAGAATGCATAACAATGTCAAAGAAAACTTTGAATATATTTTCAACAGAGAATATACAGAGAAAGGGTTTATTTTCAGTGGAAAAAAAAATTGGAAAATCGTAACCACTCCTCCTAACTCGAAGATGTTGACGTCAAAAGTGAGTCTTCCGATTAAAAGAAGTGAAATTTCTGCATGGAAATTTAAATGAGAATATATACAGGGCTCTGCCAGATGGTGTAAATTACAAGAGGGGTCTTTGCTGCAAGCTTAAGAAATCTCTTTATGGTCTAAAGCAAGCACCCAAAAGTTCAACGATTTTATTACATTTCTGGGTTTTCGATGTTCGAAACAGGTCTAGTGCCTCTATTAGAAGATTTACAAGAAGAAAAATTGCGTACTTTATTTAATATTGTATGTAGATGATCTTCTTATAGTTGAAATTAAAGCGGAAAGCATCGACCAGCTAAAAGAAAGTCTTAGCACAAATTTTGAAATGTCAGATCAGACAACAGTCCACTTAAATTTTTCATAGGTACAAAGTTTGTAAACGAAAATAGTTGTATGGCTTTATCTCAAGAGAATAGCAAAAGAGTGGGAGAAATGTGGACGTTTTCAGGAAAATCCATGAGAAAATCCATTGCAGGATATCTTAAAGATAACCATCCGCCAAGCTCGTGTTTAAAAGAGATGAAGACGAACCCTTTTTTGGGATTGCAGATACATTTTGGTCATCGGAAACTGTTGATAGAAAATCTGTGAATAGATACGTTTTTATAGTGTATGTTGCGGGGCCCTTCTCGAAAAACCCTAAGTCCGTCCATGAACGCAAAAAAAAATTTTGCTGTGGACAATAAATATCGTATGGGAACAGTAAGCTCAGACTACAGCCTTTTGTTATTTGTGTCCCAAAAAAAATAAATAAGAAGAAAGATCCCAGCGAACCATTCCTTGATGACTAAAGATCCCAAAAATTGTGGTCATTATAAAAAGACCTAAAAATATCAAAAATCCAAAAAAAAAAAACTGAATTTGACACATATATAATTGATAATTTCTATTTATTAGTATTTATTATTATTTATTATTATTAACTGATCTAATTATTATTTTTAAGTTTTTATGTTATTATAATCTATTTTCTTTTGTTTTATGCATGCAAATGTTTGTGTTTTGGGATCCTTGAATTATCATTTTTTTTTATAACTTCCAAAAAAAATAGATTTCCAGTTTAACGTTGACAAGTTATTAACCCCCAATTATTCCCCAAAAGAGCTCTTTAGAGGATAGGAGGATTTCTTTCGAAACATAACATAGGCAATCTATTTAGGAATTTATTCTCATGCTACTTTGAATGATCACCTATGATTGTGATATAATTTACCCAAAAACCAAACATATATTGATGTATTGGTCACAAGACCTATCGTTTTGAATTTTTTTTACTGGCGATTCGCCTTTGAATTTGATATATGAAAGAAAAACTCCGTGTATTCTTAATTGATTTTTTTATGTAAAAGATTTTATTTATTTTGTTCAACCCATATTAGACCTTTTTTTTTGTTAAACGTATTTTTTTATTTAAATTT